GTGTCAGGGAGCCGGGTGACTTTGTAGTAGAGGGTGATGTACATGGGGGGGGGTTCTTGGCGCAGAACTCAGCAGGAAGCGCAGCGCGGTAGCGAGTGTCACTAGTGCGGAGGTGCGTAATGAGGTCAGCGACTGTGGGAAAGGCAGCAAGGTCAGGGAAGAGGTACGGTAGCATGAGGCGGCTCAGTGCAGCAGTGGAAGGGGAGGAGTAGCGTGCAACTACAGCGTCGTACAAGGTCTGAGCACTCTTGTACTGACTAAAGTGCGCACGCTCAGAGGTAGGCAGGTGGCGACGCACAGCAAGACGTGCAGCAGCATCGCGTGTGGCCCACTGTGAGCGAATAGTGGCGTCAGCATCAGTAGCAGGGGCAGGAGAGGCACCAGAAGTGAGGTCAAAGAGGGAGAGACCGTCTGCCCTATCGCACTGTAGGAAAAGCTGCAGGTCATCTATCCAGACGTCAAAGTCAATGGCCCGAACCTCAGCGTCAAAAGCGAGGACACTAGGGGTAGCCATGACAGTAGTAGACTAGCAGCGCGAACAGTAGGGTAAGGGCAGTGCAGTGATAGAGGCGCTGCTCTTACCGGACAGGGCGGCTCGGGCGGCTCGGCGGCTCGGCGGCTTGGCGGCTCGCGCGGCTCGGCGGCTTGGCAGCAACTGCGGCTCGGCGACTCGGCGGCGCTGGCGGCTTGGCGGTATAGCGGCTCGGCAGCTCAGCGACCCGGCGGCTCGGGCGGCTCAGGTGGCGCGGCGGCTCGGGCGGCTCAGGTGGCTCAGGCGGCTCGGCAGTAGGTCGGCGGCGCCGGCGGCTCGGTGGTGACGGCGGGGCCGCGTGGGGACGGCGGCGGGGCCGGTAGAGGAAGCGCCGGGGCCGGGAAGGGTAGCGCCGGGGCCGCAGGGTAGGCGACGGGGCCAGCAGAGGCGGCGCCGGGGCCGGGAAGGGCGGCGCCGGGGCCGGGAAGGGCGGTGCCGGGGCCGCAGGGGTAGGCGACGGGGCCAGCAGAGGCGGCGCCGGGGCCGGGAAGGGCGGCGCCGGGGCCGGGAAGGGCGGTGCCGGGGCCGGGAAGGGCGGTGCCGGGGCCGCAGAGGTAGGCGACGGGGCCGCAGGATAGGCGCCGGGGCTGCAGGGTAGGCGCCGGGGCCAGCAGGGTAGGCGACGGGGCCGCAGGGTAGGCGACGGGGCCGCGAGGGTAGGCGCCGGGGCCGCAAGGGTAGGCGACGGGGCCGCGAGGGCGGCTTGGAGGGGTCACTAGGGCGGCTCGAAGAGGCCGCGAGGGCGGCGCGAAAGGGCCGCAAGGGGGGCGCGACGCGACGGGGCCGCGAGGGCGGCGGAACGGGGCCGCGTGGGCGGCGCGACGAGGCCGCGAGGGCGGCGCGACGTGATGGGGCCGCGAGGGCGGCGCGACGGGGTCGCAAGGGCGACTCGACGGGGCCGCTAGGGAGGCGCGACGCGACGGGGCCGCGAAGGCGGCGCGACGGGGTCGTAAGGGCGGCGCGACGGGGTCGTGAGAGGGGAGCGCGACTCGGGCATGGCAGAGCGCGCTACGGGCAGGAAAAAAAAAAAAAAAAAAAAAAAAACGGTGGGCCTTAGGAACAGTTCCCACAGGGGAACCTGCTCTATACCATGTGTAATTGAACAAGAATGGAATGACTAAGGGAAAGTTGGGTACAAGTACAAACCCTAGAAAGCTGTACCCCATATGTGCTACCCCACTATAGCCTACAGTAGCTATGTCATATAAATCTGACACCTCTTCCTTGTAGCTGCCGTGTAGAGCCTCTTCCTTGTAGTTGTCGTGAAGATACTCTCCTTCAAGCTGCCGTGTCTTGAAAACCGCGCCTTGAACCGTGTCTTGAAACCCGGGCCATGAACCGGCGCCATGAAGGCTAATCTGCACATAAACTCGAACATGATATAAGTAAAAGTTGAAAAATAAGCATTAAAGCTACAGTAAAAGCTTGACAATGCTGAAAGGTGAAGGAGCGATTACATACCCCCTCGTTGGGTGCTAGTCCCTTGGCTGCTCGTTGAAGGCCGCTGGTCCCTCGGCTGCTCGTTGAAGGCCGCTGGTCCCTCGGCTGCTCGTTGAAGGCCGCTGGTCCCTCGGCTGCTCGTTGAAGGCCGCTGGTCCCTCGGCTGCTCGTTGAAGGCCGCTGGTCCCTCGGCTGCTCGTTGAAGGCCGCTGGTCCCTCGGCTGCTCGTTGAAGGCCGCTGGTCCCTCGGCTGCTCGTTGAAGGCCGCTGGTCCCTCGGCTGCTCGTTGAAGGCCGCTGGTCCCTCGGCTGCTCGTTGAAGGCCGCTGGTCCCTCGGGCCGCTCCATGGGCAGAAACCGCACCTTAGGGGAAGCTCCGCTCCTTCAAGAGAAGTTCCGCGCCTTGCAGGAAGAACCACGCCTATGAAGCAAACTCTGAAAAACAAGGGAGAGAACAGAAAACAAGTTAGTTAACAGAAAACCGAAAAGTGTAAAACAAGAGAAAATGACAACCAAGCTAAAAGCTACCACAACTTGACGATGCACCATTGCTAAAAAGTAGATAGATAGATTGAAGCTGCCGTGTTTACATACCAGGAAGATCCTCTCCTTGACGTTGTTGTGTAGATCCGCTTCCTTCCGGCCTTGAAGAGAAGAACAGCGCCTTGAAGAGAGGATCCGCGCCTTGAAGTTCTGAAAAGCAAGGGAGAAAACAGAAACAAGAACACGAAGTTAGTAAAGAGAAAACCGAAACGTATAAAACAAGAGAAAATGACACGGTAAAACGATGGATCGGTCGTGACGCTCGGGCTGCAGCCAGCAGAGGGAGGATCTATGCTACCCGAGCCCATACCCAACCGCGAAGGATCATCTGCCAGCTGCAACCTCCGCGACAGAGGACCAGTGAGAACGTCGATAACAACGAATGGCGGATTGGCGGATTTCACATTAAAACGAAACAACAAATAAAGCGATGAAAGGAGGGAACGGGGAAGAGAACGGCACTTCCCAGTCGGTCGCGCTTGACGGAGAAGCAGCCGCGCGTCCAACATTCCGTCGCCCTTCGCACGCCACACGTAGAACACTGAAGTCAGGGAGAAGGCTCGATTGAAGGCCCGCGAAGCAAACCCATTATTCTTGAAAAGCATGGGAGAGGAACAATTGCACAAAGTTAGTAAACAGAAACACAAGGAAGCAAGAGAAAACGAAGACAAAACAGAAAAATGCGAAAATTGAAAATGAAACAACGAAAACGAGGTTGAAAAACGATGGATCGGTCGTGACGTTCGGGCTGCACCTAGCAGAGGGAGGACCTATGCTACCCGAGCCCATACCCAACCGCGGAGGATCATCTGCCAGCTGCAACCTCCGCGACAGAGGACCGGTGAGAACGTCGATAACAACGAATGGCGGATTGGCGGATTTCACATTAAAACGAAACAACAAATAAAGTGATGAAGGGAGGGGACGGGGAAGAGAACGGCACTTCCCAGTCCATCTTCGTTGGCGGAGAAGCAGCAGCACGTCCCACGTCCGTCGCACGCCAGTCACGGGAAAGGTTGAGCTTCATATCGGTCAGATCAGGTGCCATTGTTGCTCTTGGACTGGCGGACGGCCAAGGTGATTAAGCCTGCGAGGATTACAATAGAAAAAAAGTCAGAACGTGATCAGATCAAAACATCTGAAAAAACGGATGTGCAAAACGACCACTAAGTCAAATAAACATGAATTATAGGTTGCTTACCTCTGGAGTTTACGGTGGGCTGGGCGGATGGTGGTGTGAGGACGGCAAATTAAAGTAGGAGTCGAGGGCGAATGGTGGTGGAACTCTAGGGGGTGCTGATTCAAAGCTTCTTGACTGCTCCATGAGCAGCTCGGCTTGTTCAGAGGCTTGAAATGTCAGAACATTATAGCTTATGCTTTTGTGTAGGCTATAGTGGGGTATCCCATAGGGGGTACAACCCAATTAGGGTTAGTACTTGTACCCACTATATTCATAGTTGATTCATTCGCGTTCACTCTTTCACATGGAATCAGAGCAGGTCCCCTCCTAGGGACTGTTCCCAGGGCCCACCGAAGCGCGCCCCGAGGCGCGCGTTCCTTTTTTTTAGCGACCCTCCGTGTCGCCCCTAGCGGCCCGTTACGCCGCCCTTACCTACGCGGCCCCGCCGCTCTTACCTACGCGGCCCCGCCGCCCTTACGTCGCGGCCCCGCCGCCCTCACGTCGCGGCCCCGCCGCCCTTACGTCGCGGCCCCGCCGCCCTCACATCGCGGCCCCGCCGCCCTCACGTCGCGGCCCCGCCGCCCTCACGACGCGGCCTCGCCGCCCTCACGTCGCGGCCCCGCCGCCCTCACGTCGCGGCCCCGCCGCCCTCACGTCGCGGCCCCGCCGCCCTTACGTCACGGCCTCGCCGCCTCACCTTCGCGGCCTCGCCGCCCTCACCTTCGCGGCCCCGCCGCCCTCACCTTCGCGGCCCCGCCGCCCTCACCTTCGCGGCCCCGCCGCCCTTACCTACGCGGCCCCGCCGCCCTTACCTACGCGGCCTCGCCGCCCTTACCTACGCGGCCCCGCCGCCCTTACGTCGCGGCCCCGCCGCCCTCACGTAGCGGCCCCGCCGTCTCACCTTCGCGGCCCCGCCGCCCTCACGTAGCGGCCCCGCCGCCTCACCTTCGCGGCCCCGCCGGTCTCCCCTCCTGCCGAGCCGCCCGAGCAGCCGCCCGCCACGCCGCCCGGTACCGGAGCAGCCGAGCCGCCCAGCAGCAGCCGCCGGGCCGCCTGGCCGCCGAGCCGCGGTTCAGCCGAGCCGCCCAGCAGCAGCCGCAGAGCCGCCAGGCCGCCGAGCCGCAGTACAGCCGAGTCGCCCAGCAGCCGCCGCCGAGCCGCCGAGCCGCCGAGCCGCAGTACCGCCGAGCCGCCCCGCAGCCGAGCCGCACTACTGCCGAGCCGCCCGACCTGCCCTGTCTGGTGAGCACAGCCCCACTGCTACTGCGTGCCCTTCCCCCACTGCTTGCACTGCTAGTCTGTCGTCATGGCTACCCCTAGTGTCCTCGCTTTTGACGCTGAGGGTCGAGCCATTGACTTTGAGGTCTGGGTCGACGACCTGCAGCTGTTTTTACAGTGCGATAGGGCGGACGGTCTTTCTCTCTTTGACCTCACCTCTAGCGCCTCCCCTGCTCCTGCTGCTGATGCTGACCCCACTGTTCGCTCTCAGTGGGCCACCCACGATGATGCTGCATGTCTTGCTGTGCGTCGCCACCTGCCTACCACTGAGCGCGCGCACTTTAGTCAGTACAAGAGTGCTCAGACCTTGTACGACGCTGTAGTTGCGCGCTACTCTTCCCCTGCCACTACTGCACTGAGCCGCCTCATGCTACCGTACCTCTTTCCTGACCTTGCTGCCTTTCCTACAGTCGCTGACCTCATCACACACCTCCGCACTTCTGACACTCGCTACCGCGCCGCACTTCCTGCTGAGTTCTGCGCCAAGAACCCCCCCCCCATGTACATCGCTCTCTATTACATAGTCACTCGCCTCCCTGACTCCCTTCGCGTAGTCAGGGACCACTTCCTCTCAGTCTGTCCCACCACCCTCACTGTCGACCTCCTCGAGAAGGCCCTCCTAGCGGCGGAGAAGAGCATAGTCGCTGTAGGAGCCTCTCGTGGTGACCCGCGCACCCCCATCTTTGAGGGGTGTTCTCCTTCCCCCCTGCTGCCCTCTGTTGCCTCTGCTGCTGCTGCCGACCTGCTTGGTCTTGAGTCGGTCGGCGCGGCGTCTGCCCCTAGCGGGAGACGCCGCCCTGGCAAGGGCAAAGGGGGCAAGGGCGCGGGTGGAGCTGGCGGGGGCGGTGGAGGTGGCACTGGCGGTGGCGGAGGGAGTGGGGGTGGCGGTGGGAGTGGTGGTGGGGGTGGTGGTGGTGGTGGCGGCAGCGGAGGCGGCGGCGGGAGTGGAGGTGGAGGTGGCGGTGGGAGCGGAGGCGGCGGTGGTGGCGGAGGTGGAGGCGGCGGTGGCGGAGGAGGTGGAGCCGGTCGGGGTAGTGCCCAGCAGCGGAGCGGCTCTGGTGGTGGTCCGCGCCAGCAGCAGCAGTAGCAGCAGCGTTCTCGGGACATCCCCCCGCCTCAGCAGCTCCGTGAGTGGTACACGCAGCGTCAGCGTGGTGGGGGTCTTGGCCCGTGCACCTACGTTCTTCGTTCCGGCGACCGCGCGGATGAGCAGTATGGGGGTGCCCACTCCACCCAGCGCTGCTTTGGCCGCCTGACGGACGCTTGGCGTCAGCAGTTCCCCGAGGCTAGTGAGATTCCCCGCTGGGGAGAGCTGTCTAGGGCTGGCGTAGCGATCTTTGATCTTGACTTTGGTGCTATCCTTGCTGCCATGTATGCTGTGACTATTAGTGATGAGGGTGACTGTTACCGGTGTTTCCCGCCCGACCCGGGCATTGGTACTGCTGCGCTAGGTGCTTGTGAGGCTGCTGATCTAGGTGCCAGTGCGTCTGCACTCTCAGGTACTAGTGAGGCTGCGCTCTCAGGTACTGCGTCGGCTTCGGCCTCCCTCACCTTCACACTTGACTCAGGGGCTTCTCGCTCCTTCTTTCGAGACCGCACCACACTCACGCCGCTTAGTCGGCCGGTTGCAGTCTCCCTGGCTGACCCCTCTGGGGGTCCTGTCCTCGCTCACTTCTCCACTGTCCTCCCGTGTCCGGCTGCCCCCTCGGGCACCCTGTCGGGTCTGTACCTCCCCTCGTTCTCGACGAACTTGGTGAGTGGTGCTGACCTGCAGGATGCGGGGGTTCACGAGTTTACTCCTGCGAGTCAGCGGGGGACCCACTGCTCGGACGCCCGCACAGGCCGACACCTAGCCACGTTTTCGCGTCGGCCCGGGTCGAGTCTCTACACCCTGACCATTGAGTCTCCTCCTGTCCCTGCGTCTAGCCAGGTAGCTGCGTCGGGTCAGGAGTTTGCTGCAGCGTCCAGGTCTGGTCCTGAGTCTGCCCCCTGCTCGTGTCGCCTCCTGTCTCACGAGACTCTCTTGTGGCACCACCGTCTTGGCCACCCCTCCTTGCCTCATCTTCGGGGCATGGCTTCCCGTGTCCTTGTCTCTGGTCTCCCCCGGTCTCTCCCTCCCCTTCCTTCGGGGCCAGGACCTTCCTGTGTCCCCTGTGTCGAGGGGCGGCTCCGGGCTGCCCCTCACTCCTCCCAGTTTCCCCCGCACAGAGGCTCCTCTGCAGACGCTTCACATGGACGTGTGGGGCCCGGCCCGCGTCCGTGGACAGGGTCACGAGCGCTACTTCCTGCTGGTGGTTGACGACTACTCGCGTTACACCACGGTCTTCCCCTTGCGCAGCAAGGGTGATGTCACTGGGGTGTTGATCGACTGGATCCGCGCAGCTCCTCTCCAGCTCAGGAGGAGCTTCGGCTCGGATTTTCCTGTTCTGCGTCTGCACTCTGACCGAGGCGGAGAGTTCTCCTCTGGCCTTCTGCGAGCCTACTGTCGTGCACGAGGCATCCGCCAGACCTTCACGCTTCCGGACTCTCCACAGCAGAATGGGATTGCTGAGCACCGCATTGGCATGGTCATGGACGTCGCTCGTACGTCCATGATGCATGCGGCTGCCCCCCATTTTCTGTGGCCGTTTGCGGTTCAGTACGCGGCGCATCAGCTCAACCTTCACCCCAGGGTCTCCCGGCCGGAGACCTCCCCAGCTCTGCTGTGGACGGGGAAGGTCGGCGATGCGTCTGCGTTCCGTGTCTGGGGATCTCGGGCGTTTGTCCGCGACTTGTCTGCGGACAAGCTGTCCCCTCGTGCTGCTCCCTGTGTCTTCCTAGGCTTCCCCCCTGACGCCCCAGGGTGGCAGTTCTACCACCCCTCCTCTCGTCGTGTTCTGTCCTCCCAGGACGTCACGTTCGACGAGTCTGTCCCCTTCTACCGCCTCTTCCCCTACCGCACTCCTTCCCTCCCCCCGCCACCGCACTTCCTTGTGCCAGTTCCCCCCCCGGTAGACCCCCTCCCCCCTCAGGGTCCTGCCCCTTTAGGTGTGTCCCAGGTCGATGTAGTCGAGCCGGTCGAGGTTGCTGGTGACTCAGGTACTGCTGGGGGTGCTGAGCCTGGGGGTGCTGCGCCTGGGGGTGCTGACTCTGTGGGTGCTGAGTCTGGGGGTGCTGAGCCTGGGGGTGCTGACTTTGGGGGTGCTGAGTTTGGGGGTGCCGAGCTTGGGGGTGCTGGGTCTGGGGGTGCTGAGCCTAGGGGTCCTGAGCCTGGGGGTGCTGAGCCTGGGGGTGCTGCGCGCGAGGGTGCTGAGCCTGGGGGTGCTGCGTCTGGAGCTGCTGAGCCTGGAGGTGTGGAGCCTGCGGCCACTGAACCTCCCCTTGTGGCGTCTGGCGGTGCTGGGCCTGGAGGTTCTCCGGGTGTTTCGTCTCGGCGGGAGCCACTCTCTCCACAGGAGCTGCGTGAGTGGTTTGCTCGCCGCTGGAGGCGTACGGCTGGAGCTGGCGCTTCTTCGACCGCTGAGGGTGCTGGTGCCGCCGGTCCCGGAGCTGCTGGGCCTGCGGGTCCACCTGGAGCTGGAGCTGCTGAGGGTGCTGGTTCTGAGACTACTACTGTCAGTCCTTGTGGTGGTCGTGCTGCGGGTGCTGCTGGTGCTACTGGAGGTCCTGCCGCTGGAGGTGCTGTTGGCGCTGGTGCTGCCGGAGGTGCTGAGGGTGCTGGTGCTGTCCCTGCTGTGTCTGGAGCTACAGCGCGGCCTCGGCCGTACTTTGTTCCGCTTCTTCAGCAGGTTCTTGGTCTTCCTCCTCTCTTAGAGTGTCCACCGCCTGTCCAGTCGCAGTCACAGTTACCGCCGGCCTCCCCACTGCCTTCTCCTTCACCTTACACTGGTCCTACTAGAGGTCTTGCTGAGCGACGTGAGCCTGCGTCTCGTCCTGCGTCGCCTGTTCGTGCGGCTCGCACTAGTGGTCGCAGTTCGCGTCAGCGTCCTCCTCCTGTCCCTGGCACGCACCGGATGTCTCTGCGTGCGTCCACTACTCCTCTACGTGCCCCTTTGCCCTCTCCTCCTGAGTCCTCTCTTCCTGCGCTTGCCGACCCTGAGTCGGACTCTCTTCGTGCTACCAGTCCTACTGTCACGCGTCTCCTTGCTACTGTCGTCACTGACCCCTCCTTTGAGTCCACTGCTGCGTCTGCTCTTGTTGCTGAGCTCGTCGACTTTGCTGCTCGCTGTCGTCTAGACTACGCTGCTAGTCTTGTTGCTGAGTCTGCGTCTGTCTGTCCTCCGTCCGTCGGGGGTGAGTGTGCTCTTGGCACGGACGTCCTTGAGGACAGGCAGGAGGAGTTTCAGTATCTGGCTACTGCTTCACCTCATCTCGCGTCTGTACTGCTTGCCCCTGAGGGAGACCAGGATGCACTAGACATCCCGACTCCGCGCTCTTACGCGGAGGCCGTAGAGGGTCCCTACTCGTTGTCAAACATTATATGTTTGTGTGGTTCTAGGCTGTAGTGGGTCACACCATAGGGGGTACACCAGTTTAGGGTTTCACATTTGTACTGTTGTTCCTGCTAGTCACATCATTCCTGTTTCTCATTCTGACATGGTATTACGAGCCTAGGTTCCACCTAGGACCGGAACGTTAGGGCCCACCGTTTCCGCTAGCCGCGCCCTCGTGCGCCGCCTTTTCCTAGCGCCCTCGTGCGCCTCGTTCCTAGCGTCGCCCCTTCAGGCCCCTCACGGCCCCTCGCGTCGCCCCTTACGGCCTCTCACGGCCCCGTCTTAAGACCCCGCGCTAGCCTCTTAAGGCCCCGCGTCGGCCTCGCGCTAGCCTCTCACAGCCCCCTATGGCCCCGCGCTAGCCCCTAACGGCCCCGTGTAGCCCCGCGCTAGCCTCCCACGGCCCACCTACGGCCCCGCGCTAGCCTCCTACGGCCCCGATTGGCCCCGCGCTAGCCTCGAACGGCCCCTTGTGGCCCCCGCACTAACCTCCCACGGCCCCGTAAGGCCCCGCGCTAGCCTCCCACGGCCCCTTCAGGCCCCGCGCTAGCCTCCCACGGCCCCAAATGGCCCAGCGCTAGCCCCGGCCGGCCCCCGAACGGCCCCTCCCGCGCTCGCCCCTCTACGGCCGAGCCGCACAGCGAGACCCCAGCTGCACCGCGCGACCCGAGCCGAACCGCGTGACCCAGCCGAGCCGCGCCGCCCCAGCCGAGCCGCGCCGCCCTAGCCGAGCCGCGCCGTCCTAGCCGAGCCGCGCCCTCCTTACCTGAGCAGCAGCACCACTACTGCTACTGCTACTGCTACTACTACCGCTGCTGCTGCTGCTACTTCTACTGCTACTGCTACTTCTGCTACTGCTACTTCAGCTATGGCTAGCCCTCCAGTTCTCTCGTTCGATGCTAAGGCCGCCCGATTAAGTTTGAGACCTGGCTCGATGATCTGCACCTGTTCCTCCAGCTCACTGCCAGAGAGGATATCTCGCTGTACGATCACGCACTAGGCACAGTCCCTCCTCCTGCTACTACTGCTGCTGCTACTGCTCGCTCACAGTGGCAGACTCGCGATGCCCACGCCCGCTTTGCTATTCGCAACTCCCTGCCAGTCGACGAGCGCGAGCACTTTGGCCAGCATCAGACTGCGCAGGCCCTGTACACTGCTGTAGTTGCGCGCTACTCCTCCCCGGCCTCAGCTGCACTAGGCCGCCTCTCGCTTCCCTACCTGTTCCCCGACCTCTCCGCCTTCCAGACAGTCGCTGACCTCATCACTCACCTCCGCACTAGTGATGCCCGCTTCCGTGCATCCATGCCCGCTGAGTTTCTTGCCTCCAACCCTCCCCCGCTCTGGCTCACTCTCTACCACCTAGTCACCCGCCTCCCTGACACTCTGCGTACAGTCAGGGACCACTTCCTAGCTCGCTGCCCCACTGAGCTCACCATTACCGCCCTAGAGAAGGAACTACTTGCAGCTGAGAAGAGTATTGTAGCTGTAGGTACCTCTCGTGGCGACCCTCGCACCCCTTTCTTCGAGGGGTGTTCCCCCTCCCCCCTGCTCCCCTCTGTCGCCTCTGCTGCTGCTGTCGACCTCCTTGGTGCTGAGCAGGTCAGCTCTGCGTCCGCTCCCAGCGGGCGTCGCAGCGGCAAGGGCAGGGGAGGCAAGGGCGGTGGGGGTGACGGCGGGGGAGGCGGTGGTGGGGGTGGTGGCGGCGGTGGGGGTGGTGGCAGGGCTGGAGGGGCTAGTGGCAGCGGTGGGAGTGGTGGAGGCAGCGGCGGCGGCGGCGGCGGCCGGGGTGGGGGCGGTGGTGGTGGCGGCAGTGGACGTGGAGGCGGCAGGGGCGGTGGTGGTCGTGGTGGAGGCGGCGGTGGTGGTCGTGGAGGCTCTGGCACTGGCCAGAGCGCGCAGCACCCTCAGTCCTCCCAGGAGCTTCGTGAGTGGTACTTACAGCACGGGGGTGGGGGGGGTAGCCTTAGCTGCACGTACGTCATCCGCACTGGTCGCCGCAAGGGACAGACGTGCGGGAGGGCGCTCACTGCGCAGCGCTGCTTCTCTCGCCTAGATGACGCGTGGCGTGCTCAGTTTCCTGACGCTCCTGAGCTCCCTCAGCGGGCTGATCTCCTCAAGAAGGATATCGATATCTATGCTCTTGATTTTGATGTTATTCTCAAAGCCATGTATGCATTGACTATTAGTGGAGAGGAGGACCAGTACCTGTGTGTTCCGCCTGACCCAGGCATCCGCACGAGTGAGGCTGCAGCCCTAGGTGCTTGCGTGTCTGCTGCCCCAGGTGCTAGTGAGGCTACTGCTCTAGGTGCTTGTGTGTCCGCCACCCCAGGTACTACTGAGTCCACTGAGGCACTGCACACCTTCACTCTAGACTCAGGCGCTTCGCGCTGTTTCTTTCGTGACCGCACTGCTCTTTAGCCCCTTGCTCGACCAGTCGCTGTCTCGCTCGCTGACCCCTCTGGGGGTCCGGTCATTGCGACCTCCTCCACTGTCCTTCCTTGTCCTGCTGTCCCGTCGGGCACACTGTCAGGTCTCCACCTACCCTCGTTCTCTACGAACTTGGTGGCAGGTTGTGCGCTTCAGGATGGGGGTGTTCACCAGTTCACCCCTGCCTACGAGCGCGTGACACACTGCACGTGTGCTAGGACGGGCCGTCACCTGGCTACCTTCACTTGGCAGCCGGGGTCGGACCTGTACACACTGACCACTGAGTCCCCTCAGGTAGCGGCGTCTGCGTCTGCGTCTGCGTCAGGTCAGCTGTCTGCCCCCTGCTCGTGTCGCTCTCTAGCGCACAAGACTGTCCTCTGGCACCACCGACTTGGTCACCCGTCAGTGCAGCGCCTTCGGGGCATGCACTCCCGGTACCTTGTCTCTGGTCTTCCTCGGGTACTCGCTCCCCTCCCACCCTCCCGTGCTCCTGCTTGTCTTCCCTGTGTCGAGGGGCGGCAGCGCGCTGCCCCTCACTCCTCCTCGTTCCCCCCGACGACAGCTCCTTTGCAGACGCTCCACATGGACGTGTGGGGCCCAGCCCGCGTCCGTGGTCAGGGCCAGGAGAGGTACTTCCTGATCGTCGTTGACGACTACTCGCGCTACACCACGGTCTTCCCCTTGCGCACCAAGGGTGAAGTCCCTGATGTCCTGATCCCTTGGATCAGCAGAGCACGTCTTCAGCTGCGAGAGCGTTTTCGCTCGGAGTTTCCTGCCCTGCGCTTGCACTCTGACAGAGGTGGCGAGTTCTCCTCCGACCTCTTGGCAGCCTACTGTGCCGAGCACGGCATTCACCAGTCGTTCACGCTTCCGGCCTCTCCACAGCAGAATGGGGTTGCTGAGCGCCGCATTGGCTTGGTCATGGAGGTCGCTCGTACCTCCTTAGTCCACGCGGCTGCCCCCCACTTTCTGTGGCCGTTTGCGGTCCGGTACGCTGCGCATCAGCTCAACCTCTGGCCCCGTGTCTCCGCTCCGGAGACCTCGCCCACACTGCTGTGGACGGGGGAGGTTGGCGATGCGTCACGCTTCCGTGTCTGGGGATCCCGAGCTTTTGTTCGCGACACGTCTGCGGACAAGCTCTCCTCCCGCACTGCTCCCTGTGTCTTTCTTGGCTTTGTTCCGGATGCGTCTGGCTGGCAGTTTTACCACCCCGCCTCGCACCGCGTCTTCCCCTCTCAGGACGTTACTTTTGACGAGTCCGTGCCCTTCTACCGCCTCTTCCCCTACCGCACTGCCCCGCTCCCTCCCCCGCCTCTCTTCCTCGCGCCAGGTGCTGCAGTGGTAGACCCCCTTCCCCCTCAGGGTGCCGCTCCCTCAGGTGTCTCTCAGGTAGACCCGGTTGAGCCTGCCGAGGTAGCTGTCGACTCGCGTCCTGCTAGAGGTGCTGAGCCTGAGCGTGCGGAGCCTGAGTGTGCGGAGCCTGAGCGGGTGGAGCGTGGGGGTGCTGAGTCTGGGGGTGCTGAGACTGGGGGTGCTGAGACTGGGGGTGCTGAGCCTGGGGGTGCTGGGTCTGGGGGTACTGAGCCTGGCGTTGCTGAGTCTGGGGGTGCTGAGCCTGGTGGTGTTGCAGTTGACTGTGAGGCGCCTGGAGGACCTCCCTCTTCGCAGCAGCTACGTGAGTGGTACTCACGGTACTGCAGCCTCCGACAGGGTACGTCTCGGGCTCGTGGTGCTACTGGAGTTGGTACTCGTGTTTCCCCACCACGGCGGGAGCCGCCCTCTTCCCCACAGCTTCGAGAGTGGTACGCTCGACACATCAGTCTCCGGAGTGGAGCTGCTGGTGCTGGGGTCCCCGGTGTTGACGCTGCCGCGGGTGCTGCGGACCCTGGTGCTGGAGGTGCTGCTGCTGCTGGCGGTGCTGCTAGAGGTGCTGCTCGTACTGAGGACCCGGGCGTTGGAGCTGCTGTGGGTGCTGCGGACCCTGCTACTGGAGGTGCTGCTGCTGCTGGAGGTGCTGCTGGTGCTGCTGGAGGTGCTGCTGCTGCCGCTGGAGTGGGGGACCCGGAGGGTGGAGCTTCTGCTGGTGCTGAGGACCCTGCCGCTGGTGTCTCTGCTGGTTCAGGAGTTGCTGCACGGCCACGGCCGTACTTCGTTCCGCTCCTTCAGCAGGTTCTTGGTCAGACTCCTCCTCCTTGTCCTCCTCTCGCCTTAGAGTGTCCGCCGTCTGTCCAGTCACAGCCACAGTTACCGCCTGCCTGCCCACTCCCTGTGCCTACTCCTTACACTGGTCCGACTGGAGGTCTTGCTGAGAGACGTGAGCCTGCGTCACGTCCTGTGTCACCTGCGTCTCGTCGAGCGTCGCCTGTTCGTGCTGCTACCACTGGTAGTCGTGTCCAGCGTCAGCGTCCTCCTGCTGTCCCAGGCACTCACCAGATGGCGCTTCGTCAGTCCACTGCTCCACAGCGTGTCGCTCTCCCGTCGCCTCCTGCGTCCTCTCTTCCTGCTCTTGCTGACCCGGAGTCAGACACCCTTCGCGCTGCCAGTCCTACTGTCACACGTCTCCTGGCTACAGTTGTCACTGACCC